CACACACACACACACACAAACACACACACACACACACATGCACGCACACACACACACTCACTGTGCACATACACTCTCTCTCACTGCCTGCCACCTGAAAGCAGACTGCGTATTTTATCACCTGCCTCTGTTGTATTTCTCCCCAGAACACGTTCAGCCGTGCGGTGAGCTGGGTGAAGGAGTTGCGACAACAGGCCTCCTCCAACATCATCATCGTGCTGGCCGGGAACAAGCTGGACCTAGCAACGGAGCACCGCGCAGTGCAGACTGATGTAACTGCATTTTTTACACTTTCTTTTTCTTTTCCTCTTGTCTTTTTTTTTCTTTTTTTTTTCTTTCATGTGTCATTCTTACTGTAACTATCTTTGCTTTTATTTGTAACTTGCATTGTGGATTTACTTTTTACTTTATTTTTCCTGACCTTGCTAGCAGAAGTGATGTGGTGGTTCTTGGGCTGCTGTGCCAAATGATTGGAATGTGTATTTTGCAGTCACTCTTGTACTTTTATTTGTCCTTAGAATTTGATAAAGTAATTCTTTTTTAATTAAAAAAAATTAGAGTACAGTCGAAGTGGTCATTTGTATATATGGGATTGTCCTGTGCAGATGGTCATTAGAATGAGTTTACCCCCCTGGGGCAGTGCCACTGACTGAAATGTCTTTATGCCATTCCCAAAGGGGGGACATGTCTCTTTCAAGCACAGTAGAATTGTAAATGGGTTGATTCATCGATGTCACACTCATAACTGTGCCTGATCTACAACAGGGAACTGCTGCTTTTGCTTTCCTAATCCTTACCATCCTCATTTCCTCTACTTCTTTTGTATGTTTGTCACACTTTTGTGACCTGCTATTTTCGGGTTGCCTTGATAGTCGAAGCAGACTTTGTGCTGTTGAAACTAGAGAGGTGAGCAGAATAAATCTGATTCCCTGTAAGAACTTCTCTGTTGACATCTACCCCTTGGCACTCATATGACAGTATGCCGTTGTGAGCGCCATAAAACCTCTACTTAAACTAAAATAAGAATGAGTTTTATTATACATGTATTTGCTTTTGTCATGATGTATATATATCCGTAAAGCCCTATATTTTCATATCCTTATTGTGTGTAAACCTTCCAGGATGCTCGTGCCTTTGCTGAAGACAACGGATTGATATTTGCCGAGGCGTCTGCCAAGACAGGCTTGGCTATTAACGAAATGTTTATGATGATTGGTAAGTGATAGACCTTGGAGGTGGACTGTTTTCTTTTTTGTATTTTTTTTTTTTCTTAAAATAAGAATAAAGATAACCCCCCCCCCCGGGACAGTGCCACTGACTGTAGTGTCTTTAGGCCATTCCCAAAGGGGGGACATTTCTCTTTCAAGCATAGTAGAATTGTAAATGGGCTGACTCATGTCACGCTCATAACTGTGCCTGATCTACAACAGGGAACTGTTGCTTTTTCTTTCCTGATCTTTACTATTGTCATTTTCCTCTACTTCTTTTGTATGTTTGTCACTCTCTTGTGACCTGCTATTTCCAGGGTGCCTTGATAGTTGAAGCAGACTTTGTGCTGTTGAAACTAGAGAGGTGAGCAGTCTAAGTCTGATTCCTTGTAAGGTCCAGGTCTGGCACTGATATCCTAATGTTGGTATGAATATTGAGGTGAAAAGCTGTCTCTTTGTGTCATTGGAGATGTTTGGATGAGATAAAAGGGGTGCGAGCTGGTAGGTGACTGCGTTGGCTTTTTGAGTTCGCATTTCTATTTCTCTGTCTGTGGACCCGTTTTCAGAAAAGTGCTGCCAAGATATTTAAACTCTTTCACCTTGTTTCAGTTGTTTACTATTGACATGGATGTTCAGGGGACTATGGTTTTGGCTTACTTTCATAACTTCTGTTTTTGATGTGCTTATTTTCATGTTGAATTTCTCACAGGTGTTGTTGAGTTCGGTAGTGTGATTTTAGAGGCTCTGTTGGTCATGATGAATTAGACATTGGTCGTCTGCGAACGGAAATTCATTTAGGCTTTCTGGGCTTTGGTTTGCTTCTTGCGGTATTGTGTCCATATATATTATATACAGGAGGGGAGATACAACGCATCCCTGTCATACTCCAGATCTTACTTTGAACCAGTCTATATTTCCTTCCTTCATTCTTACTGAGCTTCTGCTGTTGGTATATAGAGCTCTGACATTATCTAACAATTGTCCTCTGGCGCCATACTTTTCGAGTGTCTTCCAGAGTTTTGCATGGTTTACTCTGTCAAAAGCCTTCTCCTGGTCTATAAAGACGATGTTGGATTATTTGTTGTGTTCTATTGTTTTCTCGCATATCTGTCGTAATGAACACTGAATGAGATTATTTTAGAATCTCAAATGCACTGGAGAATTCTAGTTTTTCATGGGTCTCATTTAGCGGATTTCCGCTACCGCCATTTCCTCTCTTGTAACACCTCTAATCTTCGGCACTTATACGACCTTATTGTGTTGCAAGTACAGTAAAACTCTTACTAAAACAAAGGACAATATTGGATCTCTCCCTGGATGGAATGATGGGCTCTTGTTGAGACTTACCAATTTACTTGTGAAAACTGTGTCCAGCTTTTCTCAGAAATTGTGCTGTTTACTGTTTTGTTGATTCAAATTTTTCGTTTTTCTTGGTGTCTGTAATTGACAAGATACGTGAATTGTTCAGTTTAGCATGTCGTATCTGAACACTGAATGAGATTATTTTAGACTCTCAAATGCACTAGGGAATTCTAGTTTTTAGTTAATAAATTATGCAAAATACTGATCTCTCTGTGTTGTGCTAAAGAACAAATTATATAATAGCCTACAACACGGAAAACATATAGATCTATTAAACATTTACAGCTAGAATCTAGTTCTACACCTAATGGAATGGGCCCACACACAACAAAGTACAGAGTACAAAGCATTGGTCATAGTCAAGGATGCATGATGAAGAGATTAAACAAAGCTTACAGGCTGGACTCTGATCTCTCTAGTTTAGCTCTAATCTAGACTCTAGATTAAAAATTCAATTACACGTTGTCTTTCCATTTTTCGTATTTTGGGAATCTGAAGAAAGGCCATTATTTGGTTTTTCCTCTGGAATTAGAACGGCCGATCGCGGAACAAAACTGGCCAGTATGCTGACAGCATGAGCGTTGCGTGTCGCTCGCCGTGTTTGTTTACACTCTGTCGCACGCTCGTGGCGCTGGGAGTCGGTGTGCCTCACAAAATTGGGCCAGTGCAGCATCTTACCGTAAGCTGTACTATCTTTGGTGTAATTGCTGGTCTTTGCTGAGTAATTCCTTACTTACCTTGAGTTGACAGCCCTTTGTATTGTTTAACTTGTATTTGGGATTGACATTCCTTGACCTCTCAACTTCTGGATTCCATGGATAATGCTCCATTTCAGTTTTGGGTCGCATGGTTTGTTGTCCAGTATCACGTGCCTACTGTTGGTCTTATTTTGTAGGCTAACAACATCTTGAATGAATTTGTATTTTTGCGTAAACTTTTAAGTTGCATGCACTGCAAATAAATATGTGAGGCAGCATGGTGAAATCAGGTGCTCATCAAAATAATGAAAGTCAATAAATAAGCATTTTCCCCACTGGTTTGTGAATTTTTATTGAATTTTTAATTTTAGGTTCAACACCTTTCATGCCCATTACAGAGCACATTTCTGTGTGGATTTTACTGAAAAACGTTGATTAAAGGCAGAAGAAATGTAAATATTGAGTTTCCACGGACTCTCAAGCTAAAAAAATAACTCAACTTTGGCGGCCATTTTCTCGCTAATTTTACCTCTGAAACCAGATGACCCTCACCTCCTTCAATCACACATAGCTTCACTGCTGTTCTACATAGATGGATATTATTTTCACCCAAAATAAGGAAAATGGACAGGTCTTAAGATGATACCATCAACTACGTATGTCCAAAAATTGACGAGAGCCTGATTCCACCATGTTGTTTCACATATATATGTTTTCTAGTCTAAAGAGTGTGTGTTTACCAGAATTTTGAGGTGTATAATTCTTTGTTCTGATAGAAGTCTAGTTGATATTCATTTCATTATTGTTGTTTTTTCTCTCAGCACACAAAATTGCGGGCAAGCCTCAAGGCCCCCAGGGCAGGGGTCAAGTGGTCAGCCTGTCTGACGAGGGGAGAGAAGGTGGCGGGGGATGTCGGTGCTAACCCCTGCGTTAAAACCTGTGTTGTACATCGACGGACGGACGGAATGCATGTTGGTTTGTCGAGGCATGGCTTTAAATACTCATGTGTGAAATGTGATGGTGTGTGAAACGTAAAGACGTGTGAAATGTGATATGTGTGTATGGGTGATGAAGACAGCAGGGTTTGTGTCCTGATGTGCTTCCAAATGCATTGTGGGATAAGGTGAAGAATATGAACATGTTGGGTTGTTTTGGGTTTTTTTTTTGCAATAACTGCCAAAGTAACGTATAACAATGAAATTCTTTAAAACGGAAATTGTTAATCTATGTAATTTGCAACAGCTTTCAAAGTTCCGCAGGAGAAGCTTTACACGTCTTATCAGATTTTTGTGCACTTTTGTGTTGTTTAAAAGCTTTAGGAGTTTTGCAGCAGATATCACCTAAGATGTTGGCAAAAACATGAGACGCTTTTGTCTCAAGGCCGTAAACACTCATTGTTTTTTAATGAAGTCATTTCACCATCTGTGCAGTGTGATATTGTTGGTTGATAGTACAGAAAGACTGTACATTGGATTAGTCTTTTTTGAATTACCTCACATTTAATTTATGATGCCTTGGCTGTGACATCCCACTATTAAATGAAGAACTCTTTGTGCCGTACACGTTTTCACATTCTGGGTCAAGACTTTTTGACATTCAAATTCATGTAAATCTCTAGTTCAGTAAGGTTCCAGAGGTTTTGCGGTGTGAGTCGGGGTAGCTTTGAGTAATTCTCTCGGTATTTTGACATTTACTTTTTTCTGGCCTTGGTTTCTGGAAAAATAGTCACTCTTGGTATAAAGCTGTTTGACACAAACCTGAGGACAGCATTTTTGTTATTCAGTCATTTATTATGGTGGTGATGATGATTATTATTTTTATTATTAATATTATTATTTATTATTGTTATTATTATTATTGTTTTTATGATTTTGCAGATACCATTTTTATAATTTGATAGAAAGGTTCATTTGTTCAGTAATTATTATTTTATTTTTTTTGCTCTGCTAGTACAGATAACAGTGATAGACAGTGTAGTAGTTTTTTAGTAGACTGGGTTAGGAGGAACGCATAGAAGAAAGAGGCTGGATTACTGGGAAATTGCCAGGGTCTACTCATTTAACTGATTTGAGGTGATGTGAGTTACATGAGTTTGCATGTACAAAATCAAAGGGAAGTGGCATGAAGATAAAATCTGTTTCTGAAATCAATTTCCGTTGTGGTGCACAGGACTTGGTAGAGTCGGGCTGGAGAAAATTGCGCCCTGTGTATTATGAAAAACACAAGTGTTATGCTGGTGACGTGGAATTAGATGCCCGGTTCTCAGAACGTAGAGTAAGAGATATTACTGTGCAATAGGATGATCATTTTTTTTGGTGTTGTTGTTGTTATTATGTGTGTGTGTGTGTGTGTTTGCATGTAAATTTGAGGGGTATATGGATGTGCATATAATGATATTGTGTGACATGGCTTCAATGTTTGCTCTAGAATCCTCACTGGTGCTATATGCCCTCTGTGAACTCTGACATCTTTGACCTCAATTTTATGTCGTGTCATACCGCGATCTTGTGTATGTTTATCTCTTTGACTGGCGCCCTTCTGTGTAAAGCCAGCTCACTCCAGTGCACAATATTAGTGATTCTAGTGTCGGAATTATGGTATGAAAATTTTGTTGTATAGTCGAAACTGTTCAAGACGACCACCTGTGATAGTGGAGACACAGGAGAAAAGTGGCTTCAGTTTCAGACCCCTGCCTTATAAACTGTAGTAAGAACAAATCTCAGACTAGTATCAAATGAAACACTTCTACGGTTGTTGACCATCAAGTTGGGGTCGCAAATATTGTCCTGCCGACCTTAATTTGAGAGCCCTGTTTTAAAACTATAATTTGTTCCACTAGACAGGATCTCTTGTCTTAGTAGGAAAATTACAAGTATTCTAATCAGGGTACAGTGAACGTCGTGCTGAACTCGCAAATCTTGGTGGGTATGAAGGGGCTGGCTTTTCAACTGTGGCTGTGAGTGAAAGTGAAAGATCGCTTCGATCTGTGCAATAAAGAATCTATCGTGGCTTGAGGGGGGGGGGGGGACCAGGGGGTGTAACAGTATTCAGTCTTTTATCATTGGTTAACACCTGCCTTTTCGCCCCAGTGATGTTGCAATGTTTTGTGCGTGAGAAAATAATGTATTCTACAGATTCTCACAAAAGATTGATGGTCTGCAGTGGTATGTTAGGGAGAAAACCCAGATGAAGTCGATTTTTGGGGACCTTGATGAAGTTTTTGAGGATGGAGAGAGGTGTTAAAAAATATTGTTGTCTTGTCTGTGAATTATTGCAAATATCAAAAAAGCAAAAGCTCTCGCCGTCTGTGGTAATCTTGTACACATTGGGCTTTTCAGAGCACTTTTTTTCTTGTAGCATGCTTGGCAATGTTCCATAACATATATATGTGCTGTGCTCTTAATGCTTGTTCAGGTTTTTCAAATTTTGTTTTGTACAAATTTTGGGCTACAAACATTCCACACTTTTGAGAGATGTCATATTTTTTTTATACTCTGTGAATGTACAATGTGTAGTGATCAGTGGTTCATTTGGAAGAGCCCAACATTCTACTTTGAAAACATGCAACTCTTTTTGTTCCTACGAAAGAAGATCAGCTTGGTAGTGACTGTTGTGTCTTTGTTATGTGGTAGATCTGTAGTTGTTGTTTTTTTTTTGGGGGGGGGGGGGGGAGGGGTTCCAAATTGCATGTTCTTAGAAAAGCATAATCAAGACCCATTCTTCATCTGCACTGTATAAGAATAATAAGACAGAGCATAATCGTGCCTCTTGTGACTTTGCGCTTTTTGTGCAGAAAAGAAATGAGAAGTGAGATTGCCAGTAATGTGTTGGTTGAAAGTTATTTTATTGTATGTGATGTTCAGTCTGTTCACTAGCTTGCAATCTAAGTGATGGGGTGTTTGAAGTTGAATGTTTGATATGTTTCTGTCCCTAGACTAACACTACATGTGCTGTCTTAATCATGATAGAATACCTGTCCACTGATGTCCCTTTTCTTTGAAAGCTCAGAGGTGAATGTCTGAGTATGCATGTGTCAAATTGATTGGGGAAATTCACAGCAAAGTTGAAACAGCGGGGTCTGTGATTGTGCATGATGGAAAATATTGTTATTTTGAAAACAGTTTTCGAAAAAAATGTTTGCGCCATATTTTGATACACTTGTACTTTTATTTTATAGTTATATCAATTACCAGTATCTGTGGTGTAGCGGTTGGCCGCTTAGCTGTTGCATGCAGGGGGACTGAGCTTGATTCCCGAGTGAGGAGAAATTTTATGGAGTATCTCATGTGCTGGGATGTTGTATTAACTTGTATCTCTCTCAGCCTGGATTGGCCCTGGCAGGCAATATCAAAGCCCGCCTCTTAAGTGATCAAAATTGCTTCAATGGGGGCATAAAAAACTCCTCCTATGCGGCTGTGGCTAGGATGGATAAGAGCAAGTTTACCAATCTTGTTTAAAGGTTGAGATTTTAATCCTACATTACTTTGGCATTTTGCCATGTTCTCTTGCGGATTGCCTCTTACCTTGGAGGACTAGATGTGAGGCAGCGTGGTGGAATCAGGCTCTAGTCAAAATAATCAAAGTGAAGAAACTGGCATTTTTCTGCAGGTTTGTGAATTTTTATCAATTTTTTTTTTTCCAGCTCAACACCTTTCATGGCCATTAAAGAACACATTTCTGTGTGGATTTTACTGAAAAAAGTTAATTAAAGGCACAAAAATTGTAAATTTTCAGTTACCACAGACTCTTAAGCTGAGGAAATGACAATTCTTCGGCGGCCATTTTCTCACTATTTTTACCTCTGAAATCGGGTGACCCCCACCTCCGTCATTTGCAACTATATCGACTTACATTCAAGATCATTGGATATTTTTTCATCCAAATAAAGACATGTGAAGAAGCTTTACTTTAAGATGATACAGTGGAATCCTGTTATAACGAGGGGGAGGGGATCGGTGCGAAATGTCCTTTATAGCAGGATTTTCGTTGTAAGGGATCCAGTAATAAATTCAAGGGAAATAGTAAAGTAGGCCTGATCTATGAGTTTGGTGTTCTTTTTAATCCTTTTTGTATTTCCCCTGATGATGATTTTGTTCAACATGATCTCCATAGGTCTAACTTGATCAAAAATCGAATCAGGTTTCTTTCTCTAGCACTAGCAATGGCGATCAGAAAGAAGGGGCTCTGGATCTGGGCTAACTCGCCGGCTGTGATGTCCCCCACCCCACCACACCCTATGAAGCGTTGCGTCTGCTTGCGCACGTGACACATTCACTCCATCTATCAAAGCATTGTGACCTCTCCATCCCGCACCAGCGAAGTGAGAGGCACGGTAGGCCTAGGCCTAGATAATCTAGACTGGGCTGGCCTGTCGTCACGCGATGAGTTCTGCTTGTCTGCACATGCCATACCCTTCCCACTCATTCGCTCTAGCCTTCATTGTTGGTTCGCGTGGGCTCTCCCTTTCCTTGTTTCGCTGGATCACCAACAACTTTCTCAACTGGCGAGGTTTCATATGTTTAATTGGTCTGTGCGCTGTACACAGCAGCAGCCATATTCCTTTATAACCGACTCGCGTGACTCTCTGATTGCGCAATAGCAATATTTTATTTACAAAGATAAAGAATGGGAAAAAACAGGGTTTTAGAATAGTGTCTTAATAACAGACTTTTCGTTATTTCAGGACTCGTTATAAGTAGACTCCACTGTACCAATAACTCTACATACCCAGAAATTGACGAGAGCCTGATTCCATCACGTCGCGTCACATATATGTATGGAGGGATCATAATAAGCAAACCAAGCTTAGCTATTGGTTCATTGTATACCATACCAGGTAGGATATTATTTCTAGAGCACAACAAACAAAGTTGAAACGTTTTTCGCACAGTATTTGGCCCTTTTATTCTTGTTTTGAGTTGTTTTGTGGCTATGGATATTTTCATTTTTAATTAGCTCAAGAAATTATGTATATATAATTAATTGTGGAATTGGTCAGTATTGCAAAGTGTTCCTCTGTTGCTTTCAAAGCATTGGTTATAATATGTCTTGAAGTCTTCTGCGTTGACATTTGTTTTGTTTGATCTACACAAGTCTTTTTTTTTTGTTCCTTGTCTAGGTGTGTTCAGTCTTCCATACTTTTACTCTAGACAGAACTGGGCTACAGTTAGTAAGATACATATACTTCACACATTCTGCACTGTCACCTTTTATTGCTTGTTGATAAACGCAAAATCAGCAACAATTTTATTCTGTAGGTTCATCATTGCATTTGAACCACGCATGCATGTTTCACCTTATACTTATAGATCATGCACAAGTTGATACTGCGGCAAGTTTTCACTGTTCCTGTCCGAACAAGTCGGGTAGTAAAATATTGGATCCGTTAGCTGTTCAGATGTACTACGCCCAAAAGAAAAAAAAAACGACTGTTTATTGCAAATTTCTTAACCTGTGGTATCCATTGCATGTGCTGAAAAAATAATTTGTCAAGTTTCAAATTCTGAATGCTAAAGAAAGGAAGGAAAAAATAATGCATAATGCAGGTACAATTGTTAAAAGAATGTAAAAAGTTTGTTTTTTTCTCTCTCTTTCCTGAACAATTTGCTCTCTGGGCTTAATACAATTGAATAGCATGCTGGAGACTTGCTCTCCTGACATTTTATAAATTGCCCATGAGACTTCCGTCTTATAAGATCTAGAAGTGATTTTTTTCTCTCAGAATTTGGCAACAGTTCGTTCATTAATTAAAACTTTCAACAAAACAAAAAACCATAAGTCCTGTTTACAGTTACTGTCTGTAACTCCCTCGTTATACTTTGTACCTTATTGATCAATTTCTTTTCCCATTGCAATAACCTGTTTTTTTTACTTTAGACATTTACAAATGAACAAACATCACTCTTAACACAGTCTGTGCATAGTATTATTATCGTGAATGTAACCAAGATTATCAATAGATTATTGTAATGTATATAATGTGTAGCAACCTACTCCGCAAGCAATAGTTTTTTTGTTTGTAATTATTGTCCTTTTGTCTGTCCATCCTGTAACAAGATTAAATACTCACCCAAGTGCAGAAGATATACAATGTATATGTATTTTTTTCCCTTTGACTTTGAATTTATAAATACTTGTAAAATAATATCCCCCGCCCACCCCTTTTCCCCATATTTGTTTGATCAAATGTCTTCCACAGCCTCACTTCTGTTAAAAGAAGTTCTTTGCTTGGAACACTTGATTTATAGGTATGTTTTCCCTTTGGAACTTCCCTTCACTATTACCCTACAAGAAGCTAATTTACCTTTACCCCTCTCAGCAAGGCGATAAGTACCCAATTTCCCTACTTCCTCTTCCAGAGGAAGTAAACCACTTGCCCAAATACCCAAATAAAATGAACAGAAACTTTGGCGAGAATCATTCCGACTTACTCAACTTACTATTACTAGTCTGTGAACACAATAAATTATGTATTATAACATAACACTGTTTTAGTCATGGTCGTTTATTACTTTGTTGGTTTTAGTTTGTGGACGATATGAATTTATAACACAGCCTGTGAGAAGAAAGCAGGAGATGGTGGTGCATTGATTGAGCTCTCCAAGTCCTAGCACAGGATGAGTGAAGGGTGTGTCTGTTTTATTGTAGTGTGGTTGTTTTCGCCCTCGGCCTTTGATGGACTTTCATTATGTACCATTCTGCCTGCCAGTAATCTCGGGAAAGGGTCTTGGTTTTCATTCCAATTTCACAAGTCCTCTGAGTTGATAATCGGTGATCGGTTTTTCTATTTTGCACAAGGCTCGACGCTTCTCTTTGAGAGAACCATTTTGTTTATACTATACTTTGCTAATTCAATTCAGCATAGTCTCTGAAATGTATCTTCTTGGAGCTCTTCAGCAACTTATGTCTTGCTTGGACTACTTGCAGTAGTTAGACAAATTATGTACTCTCCCACTGCTTTGAAAATAATGCACAAAGCTCACTACCATTATCATTATATTTATAAATAGGTATTCAAAACAGGTGCTAAAGAATGTAGATCCTTGGGAATATTGGAATGCTAAAATTTACATATATTTGTTTTGGAACTTTGAAGAAGAGACCTATGTTGATAATGTTTGTTTGGTTGATTCACTCTTTATCGGAAAAAAAAAGATGTGTGTGAAATTGATTTCCTCTTGTTTCCTCTTGTTCATGTGATTTGCTATATTTTAATCATCTGTGATTTATCGCATATTTACCTTCTTATTTATACAAGGATATGGTGTTGTCAACAATAATTATGAAAAGAAGCAGATATGATATTTGATAACAAAGTTTAGAGGAGAGATGGAATGCTGTCTAACAGCACTACATCAAGAGCCATTTACATTTTTGAATGTATCCCATTAATTATTTTTTCACCCCATGAAATGACTGCTTTAGTCAATGCTAATAAATCTCTTCAATTGAATGGGACTTGGGCTTACATTTTCAGAAAGTAGTACGAGTAACTACTGACTTGATAGTAAGCATGTTTTACAACAGATGACTTTTCATGAATATGATGAGGTGGCTGGTTGGCAAGTGCTCTCTGGTGTGGTTAGCTCCTTTCTTTCCTACTGTCAAACATGTCTGTCATCCTTATATCTCTCCTCCTTTTTTGTGTTTGTTACTCTCTAGTAACACCTTTAATCTTATGACCTAAATAAATATATGTTGCAAGTGCTATAAAACTGATGCCAAATCAAAAGAATATATGGAAAAATGGGATCCCACAAGCTTGTTGTTCTATTACACATGTACTGGAAAAGTGGTGTAGAAAGGCTCTTTCTTTTCACTACTTTCCTCCACCTTTCAGAATAAAATGACAAACGACCCAAGACGTGTAGAAAAAGTTGTAAGTGCTGTGTATATTTGCCAAAAAGATCATCAGTTACAATCGGTTACAGCTGAGAAAGAGCAAGAATGACGGAGATAGTCCAACAAAAATGGCTCATTCTAGCCACCTAGTTCCTTTTGAATTCGGTCAAGTGAAGAATCAAAATGCCTTCAAGAAACAAAAATGTAGTTGTGGATCATTAAAAAAATTTTGAAAGCTGAGCGCTTGGCTTAATGAATGAGAGGAAAGAGATGAAAAAAATTAATAAAGATACATTGAAGGAAGTTTCACATCTACACATCTGTAATAATTGAAATTATATTGTATAGTTGTTCTACACCTCCGTAGACATTATTCATTATGTAGACCATTTTGGACCTGCCTGTTAGGGCCAACCCGAGCTGAGAAAGAAATAACATCCCACCCAACAGATGTCAGGGCCAGCCTGAGCGGAGAGGGAAACAACATCCCAGCTGGTGGACTTAATATTTAATTTTTTTTATATTTTCCACACGCAAATCGAACTCACATTTATATCCTCTTTTTTATGTAAGAGTTTTTATGCCTCAATTGACTCAATTTAGTTTATTAAGATCATTTAGGAGTCGGGTCTCCAAACCTGCTTGTCGGCGCCGACCCAGGCTGATAGGGACACAGCATCCCAACAGAAAGATTGAGCTACTTGATAAGTATTTTCTCCCCACTTAGGAATTGAACTCGCATCCTCTGTGGGTGACAGCAAAGCATCTAAATGCTACTGCACCACAGACACCACTTCAGATTCTGTAAGTCTGAGCATCCTTCTCAAGTGTGACGTTCCACTATTGGACAATTAGTATTGTGGACATTGTATATATATTTATGGCTGTGTTTTGGTCTATTCATTTACACATACCACTCCCACCCTCCTCCTCAACTCGTGGATGGTGGGTGGTTGGCGGGTGCTCTGGTGTGGTTGGCTTCTTCTTTCCTATCAAACATCTATCCTCCTTATCCCCCCTTCTTATTTTTTTTATGTTTGTTACTCTCTTGTAACACCTCTAATCTTCTGGCGCTCATATGACCTTGTGCAGTTGCGAGGGCCGTAAAACCTCGACTAAAACCAAAAACAACTAATGGATGGTTGGTAGGTGCTTTAGTGTCCTTTGCTCCTTCTTACTAATCTTACCCATCAAACATTGACTCTCCTTATCTCACTCTCACCTCCTCCTTTTCTTTGTAAGTTACTGTCTGGCAACATTCAGCACTTCTGCGACCTATTTGTGTGGTTAGAGCCTTAAAACTCTTACAAATACTAAACCCCAGGTTCCCCATATGAATTTTATTACTTTTTATTTATGAAAGCTCACATTCATTAAATTAGTGTGGGGTCCAACTGTACCATCTCTCTCTTTCTGTAACATCCATGGAACAATGGGATAACAGGACAAAGATGAAATAAAATGGAAAAAACACAAAAGCAGTGACTGGCTTCTCATGACATCTTTTATTTTATATTAAGTCCACACCCAAGATGTAGATTGAGTAAAGGGTAGTTCTAACAGAAGATTAAAATTAATTTTTTAAATTTTTTAATATTTTTTTTTTGGGGGGGGGGGGGGGGGGGGGGGGTTCAGAAGGCAAAAAAAAAAACGAACCAAAAACTTAGGACAGTGGGTCAGAAGAGAAGTATGGTGTACCACAACCCCCCTTAAATACTCCAATCACCTGTGCTAAGCTGTCTGTAAACATACATGTAGTAGAATATTACACAAAGCTCTAATACTCAGAATAAAACAATGTTATCACAGTCAGGGGCCGACTTTCATAATTGGCATTCGCTTTAGTTTTAGCCTTAAAAAGCATTGTCCACATTAATAAAACTTCTTCATGCATAAAGCGTGCACTGGGACACTTGCATTGATTTACAAAACTTGACACAGATGATAATCAGTACAGAAAAGAACGGTCTTGTTGAAAATGAAACTACCAAAATCACAGCACACTTGAAAGCAAGGTTGGGTTCTGAAAGGCAAGGCATGGAATTTTTTCATAACTAGTTGGCGACTGTCATACAATTACATATATATAACTTGTGCCTTATCCTTGGCTCAACCTAGCGTTTGCCAGGACTGTCAGCAGCAGAATATCAATAGCAGTAACAGATGAAAGAGAAACAAAAATTTACAAAAATGATAAAGCCAAACAAAATATTGACTAGCCACATGAACTTCAACTGACAATAAAAAATTCATTAACATTTGAAACTGGAAGACATGTCCAGCATCCGGGATTTAAAGATGTACCAGAAAAATGAGCAGCAAATTGGGGATAAGAAAATGACACATGCAGTATGTACCAGAATGTATATCATATTATGCCAATGATGAATGCTGCCTTTTTGAACGAAGCACAGTGCAAAAACGCTTCACACTTACAGTATGCTCGTATTATAATATATATTGACTGGCATTTTGAGAAAATAACATTTCAAACATTTTGATTCAAAATTTGTGAGCTGCACAGGAACAAAATACATTATTGTACCAGCATCTATGGTGTAGTGGTTAGGCACTTCCCTATTACATGAGGAAGACCCCAGTTTGATTCCTGTGAGGGGAGGATTATCCTATGATCTAAATTGTGTCAACAGAGGTGAATTTTTAAAAAACCCAACAATTCAGCAGATAGCCAGTTTTGTTAACTCATTAAATTAACCCCAAAGGATAAAGCAGACATGGGCCCATATGTCCGATCAGTAGCAGGCTAGAGGCAATGTTACAGCACATGTCAAACCATCATACACAAATTCCACAAACACAAAATTTCATACTTCATAATGGGCACATTGCTAATGTTTCCTACCTTTTTAAGGTTAAGATGAAAAACAAAATAGAAAAATCCACATGAATATGTTATGCTTCTTTTTTTTTTTTTGTAAGTGCCCCAGGTTGATTTAAAGCGATGTTGATGAAGGACCAGAATCTGCATCCTCCACCAGTTTGAGTTAGTTTATGTAGACTTTCTCGTCCAGAACTCGATCTTCTGGACACATGTTAGATCATTTTTTTTCATGGTTTTTAGTTTTAGTAGAGGTTTTACGGCGCTCGCAACTGCATAAGGTCATATGAGCGCTAAGGGGTGGATGTCAATAGAGATGTCTTTTTAGGGAATCAGACTTACTCTGCTCACCTCTCTAGCTTCAACAGCACTAAGTCTGCTTAGACTATCAAGGCACCCCTGAAATAGTGGGTCACAAATTATTTTCCTTTATCATTCTTTGTTAAAATTAACAGAATCGCATAATTTCATATTTTTGGGCTCAGTTTGCATAATTTTAGAATTAAAAAAAAAAAAAACCCACTGGGACAGGTACGGCCTAAAGAAACTTCAGTCATTAGCATCGCCCGGGGGGGGGGGGGGGGGGGGGGGGTTTGATCAAGTAAAGTGCACCCAGTCCTCTGTAAGGAACACATTAATATGAGTCATGACACAGTAGAATCAGGCACTCGTCAATTTTTGGGCATGTGGAGTTATTAATATTGGTATCATTTTAAAGCTTGTTCATTTGCATTGCTTTAAATTTTTTTAAAATACCCATCTATAGATCATGAACAGAAGTCGAGATATTTGTGATGAAGTGAAGAAGGTATGAGTCGTCTGGATTCAGTGGTAATTTATCCAGAAAATGGCGACTAAAGTTTGGTCTCCTTAGTTTGAAAGTCCTTGGAAACTGAAAATTTACATTTTTTATGCCTTAAATAAGTGTTTTTCTGTAAAATCCACACATGGAAATGTGTTTTCAAATGTACTTAAAAAGCGTTGAGCAAAATTTTAAAATATTTATACAAATTGCCAAACCATCAGAAAAACGCTGGTTTCTTCGATTTCATTATTTTTCTAGGCACCTGATTTCACCACGATACCTCGCATATTATCATACATATCATCTGCACTTATCTGAAATTGTCAGATGACAAACCAAAACCCAAAATGATACTGCTTGCCAGTTTTGGTGAGTAAACAATTAATGCTGCACTGCATTTGAAGAAAAGATCTCAATAATTTACAAACCCTAAACGTTTACAAAAATTATAAATATAAAACACTTAAAATATTTTTCTTATATTATTTATATTTAGATAAATTAAGAGGAGGGTTTTGATCTTACAAGTCCAACTGGGGCTGACAGGGATGAAACGTCTCAGTCAGCAGAAAGACCGTGGTAATCTATAAAAATTCTCCCCAAACTTTTTTTCCCTTTTCTTTTGTTTTAGTACATGTAGAAGTTTTAACGGCGCTCGTGACTGCATAAGGTCAAATGAGCGCCAGAAAATTAGAGGTGTGACAAGAGAGTAACAAATAAAAAAGAAGATGGGGAGATAAGGACGATAGATGTTTTATAGGAAAGAAGAAGCAAACCACACCAGAGCGTCCACCAACCACACACACCCTTTTCTTACAGACTTCCCATCTCATACTTATTATAATTAAATTAACTAAAAACTATAAATATAAAGCATGTTTATGGCTTTCATTTCTCTGGAGACTGTTTTGATTGGATCATATCAAACAAGAAAGCAAAGTAGCAATACATCAAGTATTAAGACAAAGCAAAGTAGCAATACATCAAGTAATAAGACAAAGCAAAGTAGCAATACATCAAGTATTAAGACAAAGCAAAGTAGCAATACATCAAGTATTAAGACAAAGCAAAGTAGCAATACATCAAGTATTAAGACAAAGCAAAGTAGCAATACATCAAGTATTAAGACAAAGCAAAGTAGCAATACATCAAGTATTAAGACAAAGCAAAGTAGCAATACATCAAGTATTAAGACAAAGCAAAGTAGCAATACATCAAGTATTAAGACAAAGCAAAGTAGCAATACATCAAGTATTAAGACAAAGCAAAGTAGCAATACATCAAGTATTAAGACAAAGCAAAGTAGCAATACATCAAGTATTAAGACAAAGCAAAGTAGCAATACATCAAGTATTAAGACAAAGCAAAGTAGCAATACATCAAGTATTAAGACAAAGCAAAGTAGCAATACATCAAGTATTAAGACAAAGCAAAGTAGCAATACATCAAGTATTAAGACAAAGCAAAAGTGAGCAAAGTCGCTCCCTCAGAATTACAAAGTTTTATCTGCTCAGTAGGCCTTCCTAGTTTTGAAATATGCAATTCTTTAAAATGTCTTGATTAGGACTTCAAATTATCTTAACATTTGATAAAGCAGATAGAGCATTTGGTTTCTGACTCATGGTCTTAGTACGTGTAACTCAAAAAAGCCAAAAATGTCAGATAAAACTTAGTATTTCTAAGGTAGAGAAGTGATTATCATCAGTAAAAATTAAAAACACTTTGAAGTTTCGCTACAGAAATTATAAGCGTAGAAAAAAACAACAACAATCATATGAATTTTGTACAAACATATTTGATTAAAAAATAGGTAGTATCAAATTTGACCATGTGCATTTTAAAAGTCTGTTTTCATGTTATTATTACACTAAAAGAACATACTATTGTAGGCCACCAAAAATAAAATAAGTACAATGTATAAAAAAAACCCCAAACTATAACATTAATTTAATAAGGCCATCCTGTGTAGAGCAGATTCACATCATATGTTCCTTAATGTTTTGACAGTGTGCCTTCCATTTTGCAGAGTGACACATGATGTGTTCTTTCTATTTTCACATCTATCATCAAATAAAAGTTAAAATTTGCATCTTTCAAACACAGATTTATCATTGTTTGCAACGTACCATTATCTGACTTACCATCTACACACTAAAACACTTTTAACTCATTTTGATGAGTGCTTTTTTGCCAGCCAGTTCTGCCTCCCTCTTCACACCCAACTCATTCTAAATATATTTTAGACAGGCATACTAATTTCTCAACAAGATAAGAAACATATGGATAAAATAAAAGTTACACGCTCCTGGGGAAAAAAAATTAAATGAGGAAAGAGCAGAGGGACAGAAGAAAAAAATAGGACCCATCAACAGTTCTCCAATCCCCTGGCCTTAAACTGTCTCACCATGAAAACTGTAGTGTGTACAACTTTTGTCAGAGCTTTTTTTTTCAACAGGTCTTTTAAAACAGTATTGGCTTGAAGGGCATAAAGATAAGTTTAGTATGAGGGTTACAGCAGTTGCAACACAGGAAGGTCATATAAGTGCTGAAAACTGGAGTTGTTACAAGAGAGTATCAAACACAAAAAAGACGGAGGAGAGATCAGGACAATAGATGTTTGATAGGACAGAAGGAGCAAACCACACCAGACCACCCTCCAACCACCAGCCATATTAGGATTAATAATAATATCAACTATGAAGCATACTAATATAAGAAGATAATTTACAATTTAATCTTTAAAGTTTCACTCTTCACTCATGTGAAGTCTTATATTCAATACAGAAATTGAACAATTTTTGTCGTAATTAATAATAACCACTGAACAAAGAACCGACTTTCAAAGGCTTGGTGAAATATACACAACAAAATCCATCACCATAGTACTTTGCTTTCCCATGTTTCACATCAATGAAATCTGACAACTGATGGAGCTGTGACCTCTCTATGTCGCACAACTGCAAAATGTCAAAGTTTGTCTCCCTTGACTCGATGCCTCTGGCCGTTTTCACAGTACAGTGGCAACTTCTACCCGTACCAGAGAACTGAGCGTGCGGGAAAATCTCTGCCAGTCCCCCACCCTCGGACAGATCTGACATATCTGCGGAGGTGTCACCCTCAGACGTTGCTTCACTGACAAATGGATCACCACTCTCGAGATTTTCGCCTCGGTTGCTTTCGTCTTGCTCTTCTTTACGTGGAGATTGTTTGGTTTTCCTCTTGGTCTGTTTCGCAAGCCTGCCCTTTTTCTTCCCCCTCCTGACAACGCTAAACCCATCTCCTTCATCTTCCCCTTCATGGCAGTTACTGCTACCAGCAGGCAAGACTGAAGTATTACTGTAAAAACCCCTGGCTCCTTTTGCCCAGTCCCGCTCCTCCGGGCGGTCAAACAAGGGCATCTGGTTCTCTCCCAGTGACACACGAATGCTCAAAGTTCTCCTAGTAATGACCACGGCAGTGATGGTCAAACAGAAAGACTTCCCGCAAGCAGCCTGCACGTCCCTACGGTTGTGGTATGTAGTGGACCCTGGTACTTTTCCCCGGGCACAGAAGCGAGACGTGCAGTGGAGGAGGGGGCTGGACTGTGCAGCATGTGAGAAATACTCTGTCAAAATGCCTTGGGCAGTCTCTGTCACGGAAAAAGAAGAAAAGAAATTCAATGAGATACAGTCAAATGTACATTTTAAAACAGCTAAAACAGAGGTATAAGAATTGATACAATACAGTTTTGTGTTCGTTTCAGTTTTTGTTTAAAAAGGGTAGCATGAACACATTGACTATCTACAGTAGTTTAAAAGAAAGAAAAACTTACTGAAAAACTGAACCTCATTCAGATTTAAACACAGTTTTCATAAATATCAATTACCTAAACAGCTCCCTTATCAAAGATAATTCATCAGCTGTCAGTGAATCCAGTATCAGTTATATAAAATTTGAAAGTATTTAATGACACAAATTAAGAGGCAAAATGTAGTCAGAAATTAGTAAATAAAACAATTCCCCCATCCTACCTAGCCTACCATACAAAACATGTCTCCCCCAACTTGTGAGTCCATAAAAGGAACACATTTTGGTTCGTGCCATAAAAAAAAGATCAGCTAGGTAAGTTTTAATATTTTTTTCTACTTCCCAAAACAGTGTGTAGAGCAATTTTCTTGAATCATACAATGTCAACAAATGTATAAAAGACTTTATTGAACAAGAAGACCTTCCTTCAATACGAAAACAATTCCTATTGCAACGGAGGGATTTCAAATCTCCACGTTTTTCCCCATCTCTATTTTATGCATTGTAACTTCTCTCAACATGATAGAAATTCTCTGGTCCCATGAAGTTTAGTGTTATCAGGGTTTTACTGAATCAGATGCAATGTAAAATATGGTTCCGTTCACTCTGCTATAAGGCTCTCAGTCAGACCCATAGTAAAAAACGTGTGGATTCCATTTATGCCAGCTCCAGTCTGACAGTATCTGTGGGAAAAATCGCTTTTAATTTTTGCTCACCGCATTTTGAGATGCAAATTGAGAATCTGATAATATATCTATGCAATCAGAGTGAAGTTCTTCCTCATTGCATAGAAGACGTGTGGATTTATTTTTTACTTTTAGTATGAGTGTTGCAGCACTTGCAACACAAATCGGTCATATAAGTGCCAAAGAATAGAAGCCTTACTAGAGAGTATCATACATGTAAAGAGATGAAGGAGAAGAGACAAGGATGATAGATGTTCGATGAGAATGAAGGAGCAAACCACACCAGAACATCTGCCAACCACCCAGATATTATTAAGTGAGTTTGATTCTAACATGATATGAGGAAGTATTCTACTGAGTATACATCTGTCTGATGACGATGTTTAGCATGGTCAAAGCAGTACATCTCCTAAAATGATCAAAATTGTGTTGATAGAGGATACAAAAAATGTACTATCATTATCATCATTTTTTAATGCATCTACTTGGGAGTACTTGGACAGGGCTTACTCTATCAAAAACCCAAATAGAATAATTGGACAGGGTTCAAAATGAGGTAATGCGTACTGTCCTTGGTTGCCACAGAGACACTCCAATTGTTTGTCTAAGACATATACTTGGACTCTCCAGTATACGAGTAAGACAGAAATTAGCTCTGGTTAAGATGTACCTGTAAGTTATGGAAATGGAAGGACACCCACTTCACCCAGCGATCAAGCAGGACAGAGGGACTTGAATAAAGAGAAGTCAATCTTGGATGGCACAGGCAGAAAAGTCTCTAAAGAAGGTGTGTGAGTTAGATGATATAAATGATGGCAGTGAGTGGATTCAAGTTGCATAAAAGGCTGCACACAATTTGACACAAGTCATCATTGGTGTAAAGAAGGGAGATGTACTGGAGGTGGCAGGACCAGCAGACCAATAACTCCACATGCCCAAAAATTGACGAGCCCCTGATTCCACCACGTCAATAAACATACTTTTTTTCTCTCTCTTAAAGAGTAATTTTACCGTTTATAGGACTTGCGAATATACTTATTCTCACTGACTCACCTTCATCAATAAGACTGGGCTGCACATGCAATTCTTGAAGCAAGTCCCTCTTCAAAGCTGGAAACTTTTCCTGGCACTCCATGAACAAACTTGAGCAAAATCTCGACAGTTTCTGAGACATCTTGCCATTCAGGAACCAGCCATAGTATGAGGGAATGATATCATCAAAAGAGTTTACTTTTCTCTGCAAGACTTCAAGAGGCACTCCATGCTTGTTCCTTTTATGAAGTTCACGAGCGTTCTTTTTCCATGGAGTCTTTGGCTCTACAAGAATGACCACATAACCGCATCTGTTTGCTAGTGATAAATAAAATTTCATTTCCCACTTTTTCACGTTAGTGTTGTCGACGATCACTACTGGTGTGCCTTTGTGACACGCCTCTTTCACTTTCTGCTGACACGTACTGTGGGCGCTGCTGAGCAATTTCTCATCAAATTCATACTCGCCATCCTCTGTAAGGAAAAAGTTATCAGCCGAACACACAACTGCACGAGTGGCGTATAAATTTTTGATTGTGCAAACAACTGTAGATTTTCCCGACCCAGAAACGCCCCTCAAGACAAACATCACCCTTGAGTCTGAATTATTTACGTATCTCACTGTCTCTCTGTTTGTAATGAAGGGAAAGTTGAGAAAGTTGATATTGGCACCAGGGGGTATAGCTGTGGAGGTGTCTATAGGTTCTGGTTCTACTGGCAGTCTCTGACTCTGAGCCACACGAGTCTGTGAGAAATGTTCTCGCACTTCGTCTGTGGCAGCAGAAGCAGGAATGTTGAGCTCAAGGCCCAGTTCTGTCAGGCCAAGCACTAGCTCCTGTGAAGAGAGAGAAGAAAAGCCCTTTTCCTTTATATTTACGTTTGTAATCTTTCATTGCAATTACAGTACAGTTACAAAAATTTAAACTGTGCTGCCATTTAAATTATTATTACACACACACACATATAATTAGCGAAATGATAAAACACTAAAATTATTGGTTGTGACGAGAGATGAAGAATAAATGGCATTCTGTTTGAGGGTTACTGTTAAAGTATTGATCTTTAGGTGTTTGTTTTTTTCATGTGCACAGAGAATTAATTATAATAAAGCTTCAATACTCTCGTACTATGGAGCTGTCACACTTGATCCTTTCAGTCTCCTTTTTTTAAACTTAAGGGGAGACGTACATTCCCGGAAAAATTTTCTAAACGAATGACTTTTATTCAATTTCATGTAATTGTGCAAGAAGTTCATAGGTAAATAGGATGTACTAGGGGTGAATTTGTTCAATTTTTCTTCTGTGACGGCCATCTTGGATTTTCAAACCAGTTTCTTAGTGCAGACGAATTTCATTGTAAATATTGAATTATCAGCCTGAGTACAAACCTATATGAAGTGGGGATCTATGAAAGGATTTTGACCTATCTTTAAAACTAAAAAAGTGAGCCCAAAGTCTTTGGACCCCCTAGAGTCAGTGGACGAAATTTTGGGGTACATATTACAAAAAAATTGAATATTTCCTCAAGTTACCAATATTTCCCAATTCCCTTTCATAGATCCCCAGAATTGATCTTAAAGCACATGTACATCAAATTTGAAGTTTCTAGCTTCTATAGTTTTTGAAAACTCTTTGCACCCTCGAGGTCACATATGTCAAAAAGTAGATTTTGAGAAAAACAGAAAAAACAGGGATTTTTTAAAGGATTTTTAGAGCAATTTGCACTTTTCAAACGCCCTTTTAGGTCATTTAGGGTGTTTTTTCAACAGTTTCTTCATTTTGATTCGATAGAACAGATGTCAAAGGATGTTTTTCCGCCAAAAACAAAAGTTGGATAGTTTGAAAAATTGTATCGATATTGCCTTGGATCGCCGACCCGGGTCTTCCCTTAAAAGTAAAGTCACTTCCAAACGTATTTATATTGTCTTGATGTAATAGAATCAGGCGCTCATCAATTTTTGGGCATGTGGAGCTATTGGTATCATCTTAAAGCTATTTCAGTTGTCTTGCTATCAGAGGAAAAAATGCCCATCTTGAATAGAAGTCAAGATATTTGAAATTGAAGAAGGTGGGTTCGCCTTGTTTCAAAAGTAGAATTAGCGAGAAAATGGCCGCCAAAGTTTAGTTATTTCCATAGTCTGATAGTCTGTGGAAAATGAAAACTTACTTTTTTGTGCCTTTAATCAACGTTTTTCAGTAAAATCCACCCAGAAATGTGTTGTTAATTGAACAAAAAAGGTGTTAAGCCAAAAAGCAAAATTTATATTTATAAGAATTGCCAAACTGGCAGAAAAATGCCAGTTTCTTCTATGTCATTATTTTGACGAAATCAGGCGCTCGTCAAAATTATGAAATTGAAGATATCAGCATTTTTACGCTGTTTTGGCAATTTTTATCGATTTTTGGGGGGCTCAACACCATGTGCATGTATGACCATTTGAAGACACATTGTTATCATGTGTGTATTTTTCTGAAAAAAAAGCTGATTTAAGGCACACAAATTATGTCACTTTTCAGTTTCCAAGGACTCTCAAGCTATGGAAATCACCAAATTTTATCGGCCACTTTCTTGATAACTTTATTTTGAAACCAGGTGCCCCCACCTCGTCCAATCTCAAATATCTCAACTTCTATTAGAGATAGATGGGTATTTTTTCTCTTCGTAAATATAGACAAATGAACAGGCTTTTAAAGGATAATACGAATAACTCCACATGCCCAAAAATTGCCGAGCCCCTGATTCTACCGCGTCGAGACACATTATAGGCCTCTATGCATTTCGCTACCCCAGAATTATAAAGTTCTATCTGCTCAGTACCTAATTTTGAGAAATTTGACGTAAAAGTAAAAGATTTTGAGTTTCACAACATGTTAAAAAGCTTTTTCAAGCAATATTTTCATACCTTGATTCATCATCATTGCCTTTCTCACCCTGGGTCAGGATATAGGCCACGAACAAACACTCTCCACCTTTCCCTATCCTGGGCTAGTCGCTTGATGTCACTCCACGTCTTCCCACTTTTCTGTACATCCATTTCTGTGACTTTTCTCCAGGTTCCCCTTGATCTTTTACCCTGTGGGTTCCAATCTAACACTTTTCTTGTTATGCAGCTGCCTGACTTCCTGAGAGTGTGTCCAATTTATCGCTAACGTCTTCTTCACACCTCATCTCTGACCGGGCTCTGTCTGGTTCTTCTTAATATAATACTTCCTCGTCTGTCCATTTGATCCTCAGCAGCCTCCTATGAACCTGGATCCTCTTTATGCACGTATGGGATGCGTTCCAGGTCTCACATCCATACAACAAGACTGACTTCACATTTGAGTTGAAAATTCTAAGCTTTGTTCGTAATGAGATGTCCCTGGTCCTCCAAATCCTGCTCAAAGAAATAAATGCAGCCTGTGCCTTTCCAATGTGGGACTTTATTTCAGCACCTGTACCTCCCTCTCTGTAAATTATACTCCCAAGATAGAAGGATTCGACCTCTTCTAGTGCGTTTCCTTGTAATGTGACCTGCTCCTTTCGCAGTGCATCTATCCTTAGGACTTTCGACTTTCCGGGGTGGATCCTCAATCCAACAGACTCTGATAGGCTGTTTAAAATTGTTGTCTTTGCTTGCAACTGTTCCTGAGTGTGAGCCAGAAGCGCCGCCAAGTAATCTGCAAAGTCCAGACCGTCCAACTGTGTCCATGGGGTCCACTGTACACCGTTTCTGTGTCCTCTGGTGGTTTCCTTCATCAGCCAGTCGACTGCCAATATGAAGAGGGACGGTGATAATAAACATCCCTGTCTCACACCAGTCTTGATGTCAAAGTTGTCAGTGAGCTGGCCATCATGTACAACCCTGCAACTTGTCTCTTCGTACATGCTCTTGATGAGGTTCACCAATTTCTGTGGGATCCCGTGGTGTCTCAGTATCTTCCATAGTGTTGCTCGGTCTATACTGTCAAGTCTTCTCATAGTCAAGGAAGATGACAATCAGCTGGGAGTTCCACAATAATCCTCAGCGTGGCAATCTGGTCGGTGGTTGAGCGATTTTTCCGGAAACCAACCTGTTCATCCCGTAATCTTGGATCCGTTGCTGTCTTGATTCTCTCCAGAATGATTCTGTTGAAGACCTTACCTGGTATTGAGAGAAGAGTGATCCCTCTGTAGTTGCTGCAGTTGCTGAGATTCCCCCTTTTTTGGAAGCTTCACGAGGTGTTTTTCTTTCCAATCCTTTGGGAACATGCTCTCATTCCAGATCCTGGTAAACAGTGGGAGGAGGATGTCTGCCGTCACATTGGCATCTGCTTTTAGGGCTTCAGGTGGAATCTGGTCAGGACCAGCCGCTTCCCCTTTGTTCAGCTTCTTAATGGCATCCAGAATCTCTTGTTTTGAAGGAGCATCACAGCAGATAGGTAACTCATTTCTTGCTGGCAGGATGTTTGGCGGGTTACTCGGTGGTGGTCTGTTCAGGAGACTGTTGAAATGCTCTACCCATTGTTTGGACAGAGCTTCCTTTCCAAAAATGGTTTTCTCCTCTTGGTCCTTTACTGGTATTTCAAGTTTCCCGTATTTTCCAGAAAGTGTCCTCGTGGTCTGGTAAAGGATTCGCATGTGCCCTCCTACCGCTGCTTCCTCTGCCTTCTCTGCCAGCCTGTTCCTGAATTCCTCCTTGTCTTTTCTTAGTGGTTTCTTGACATCTTTAGCTGTTGTCCAGTACTTCTCCAATGCATCCGCTCTTGATCCTCTTGTCCTACTTGCATTCGCTTCTGCCTTCAGCTGTCTTTTTGTCCTAATTAAATCCAGTGAGTGTTGGCTAATCCATTCCTTGTGCTCTTATTTCTTCACACCGAGTACTTCTTGACAGGCTGATGTAAAGACTTCTTTGACCTTGTTCCAGTGTGTATACACCTCCCTGTCTTCCTCACCAAGATCCGCCAAGGGTTGAAATCTGTTCCTCAACTGCAGTTGAAACTCCTGTTTCTTGTGTCTATCTAAAAGACTTACTTGGAACTTCATTCTTTTTGTTCCTGTTCTGGTTCCATGTTTTTTTAGACGAAGCTTGAGTTTTGCTAACAGCAGAAGATGATCTGATCCAACATCTGCCCCTCTCTGTACTTTGACATCTTCCAGTGAACGCCTGAACCTACGAGAGATACAAAAATGATCGATCTGGTTCTCTGTCACTCCATCTGGTGATACCCAAGTAGCCTTGTGGATCCTCTTATGGGGAAAAACAGAGCCTCCTATGACAAGACTGTTGAAAGCACAGAGATTTGCAAATCGCTCACAGTTCTCATTCATTTGTCCCAGGCCATGTTGTCCCATGATTCCCTCGTAACCTACGTTGTCCTGACCTATCTTGGCATTAGCATCTCCCATTATGATGTTGACATCTTTCCTTGGCAGTTTGTCGGTGACCCCCTGGAGCCGGCAGTAAAAAGCATCCTTGTCATCATCCGAAGCATTGTTTGTCGGGGCGTAGATCTGTACTATGTTCATGTTGATGTTCTTACTTCTGGTAGTGAAAGAAGCCATGATGATCCTTTCCCCCTGTGGTTTCCATCCTCTAAGTGACTTCTGCGCATACTTCCCTCCCAGAATATAATATTTGTTCCCCCGAGCTGAGCTGCTTCTGTCCAGACTGTATCCAGTGGGTTTCACTGACTCCTAGTATGTGCAGCCTGTATCTTTTCATCTCTTGTGTCACTTGAGAACTCTGTCCTGCTTCATACATGGTGCGAACATTCCACGACGCAATCCGGAGAGACTTGTTTGACAGAGATGGTTTCGGGTCAGAAGAGTCCTTTCGGCTTTGTCCGCTGTCCTTCATTGTTCCTGCTGATGCAGAAGCTCCTCCCCGTCTCCCAAGATGGAAAAATTGTAAGGCATGTTTGTTCGTGTTTCTATAACTTTCCTTTTTTACTGGGTCGGGTAGTTGGCCTCCGCAAACTGTTACTTTTCAGGTGGCCAGACCTATGCACCTTTAGTCACCTCTTATGACACGCAGTATCACGGCAGGTGCATTCTTTACTCCCCCATAGTAAAATTATGGGGCCACCCACCTGCAGGGGCGATATCTTGATTAACGACTGCAAATAATCGTACAACTTTAAATTATTGATATCAATAGAGCAGAAGAGCATTTGGAGTCTGACCTCAAGGTCTTATTATAGTAAATTATAGTAATTTAAAACAGCCAAAAATGCGCGATATAATTTATAACTGAATAATTTTCTGAGGTAGTGAATTTGACAAGAATGCAGGCAGAGGCCTTATTAATGTTCCCTGTCAAAACTTTTACACAAGTGGCTATTCTCACTCCTGGTGAGAATAAAAATACGATCGACCTCTCACCTCCGGTAAGACTTGCCAGCGTCGGCTATTCTCACCTGGTGTGAAACAAGACCTGTTTTTCCGAATTTCTGAAAACTGTCTACGGTGTGGATGATTAAACTGACAAAAACAAAGGACAAAAATAAGGTTATTGCACAAAAGTAAACTACTAATTTGGTCATCTACAAAGATGTTACGTTTATTATTTCACTTATTAAATCGAATTGAGCCGAAATACTCCGGTTGCCATTTTGTTTTGCCTGGAAGTTCTCGCTACTCCTTCTCTCTCCCAATCTGTTTCTCCCCCTCCCCCTCCCTCTCTATCACTGCCTGCAGACAAAATTTTTCACGCTTTCAACACACAAGAGCGCTGGAACGTATATTTACACTGGTATATATATCACACTAAACGCACACCGGGTGAGAATAGAGGTGGCCAAAACTTACCGTACACTGTGTCACCAATGCTATATATATATATTATATTTAGACTCGAGACTGACTGATATGCTAACAGTAATTTTAATAGAAAAGCGAAGCCATTTCATTGAGCTTATTATGTAGATCAAGGCCTGTGTGTACAATAATATATTCTTCACATTTCATTCCTGGCTGGAAGGCTACTTTAAAATTTTATACCATACTACCATACGTTGTAGTTGGCCTACCTGCAAACATTTTCCATCCTGTGTCTTCGACTCTGCACACTTCAGATCCAACGATGAACTTGTCAAGACTGGGACAGTAGACACAGTAAATGCTGCATCCATTGTGACTTAACTTTTACTTGTTGCCTGTACAGGAAAAAATTATCGAAGTGACTATATTTCTCCAAACGTTCGGGAAAATAAACTTGAACTCTATTTCTCCGAACGGTTTCCGATCTCAAGATTTTTCGGTTATTTGCGAGATTTACGCGTCATCTTTCATTCTGCCATTTTGCGAAGAAGCATTTTTAGCATCATATTCAATTTCTAGAGCAAGAGATTTTTAAATGTCTGAATATTCAGAAATTTCAGTTGCGCATGTTCCCGACTAAATTTTATACTTCATTTTCAAAATACCTTCAAAAGGTACAGCGTAAGACTAATCGACCTTGGCAGTAACCTATTTTGTGTAAATTTATTAGTCATCCAGCAAAAAAATAAAGTCCTTCAAGATGAAAAAAAAATAAAAATCCTCCACCCCCCATCCCCAGGCCCCATTCACACCTTAGCCTTAGACCTACACAGACACACACACACACACACACACAGGCCACTCCATTCGCAAAATAATTAATATCAACAAATCTTGAGAACTGAAACCGAAAATAGAGTTCGAAAGTTTATTTTCCCGAATGACGAATGTTCAGTCCAGAGCCGGCCAAAAATTATAACTTTGTAACTGAGCAAAAACAACAAAGCTATAGACAGATCTATACCTTAATCTAGATTCTAGAATAAGAAGTAGAATCTAGATCGAGTTAGTCTATTACTAAACTAAACCTGCCCAAGCGATGGGGGAAAATCATAACAAAATGTCACATGATGATGTGTGACAATTTTTACAAACCTTTTTACAATTAGAAATATTTAATCAACATCAAATGACAGATCTTGAGTCTCAAACCAGATTTTCAAGATTCCAGACCTCCTTCTCATGATTCTAGAGGTCTAAAATCCACGTAAAACTTTACTCATTTCAACAGGTTGACGCAACACAGCTGATTCATTTTCGGTGTAGAACTGAAGAGCTAAAGTGTTGGGAATCGCTCGCTGTGTCTCCTGACAACACAATAGAGAGAAGAGTGAGAATATCGATTTGACTGCCAAAACTATTCGAACATGATACAAGCGAGCTATTCGAAAAGGTCGACTCTTCTCTAGATTAATGCTCGATTCTGTATCACAGGCTCGTTCTTGGAATAATTCGACTTTTATTATTTATAATAATATAATAGATCTAGCTTGGCTGTACACAAACAACGGTTCTATCTGTAATAGAAGTAGAAGTGTAGTCGATTAATTAGGAATGATTATTATTTTACACCACCATTGACACATTAATTTAGATAATTTAGGAAGAAGACTGCTTTTATAACCCTTATCTAGGCTGGATACGATGCAACCAAGGAGTTTAGAACTCCTTGGATATAACACAACGTAGGGGAAAAATCAGACATAAACACAGACATCCCAAGCAGGAATTCTACAGGACTAAAAATGTCTTTCGTGTAGGGTAGCGAGTATCCGAACCATCAATCAAGATATAGAATAGGCTCCAAAACTGGGTAATCCAAACACACTAAACAGTCTGGAACTCTGTTTCAGAGGAAGAGATTCATGTAGATAAAAGGGGGAGGGGGAAGACAGACAGAGAGAGTGAAGGAGAGAGAGAGAGAGAGAGAGAGAGAGAGAGAG